CTTTTTCTTCCAACTGCACATTTTCTTTATCTTGCAATTGTTCTCCATGTTCTTCAGTTGCAAGTTCACAAGGTTCTACAAAATATTTACAAGAGCTAACACAATTAGTACTTGTTACTAATCTGTGATTAAAACAAACATGTATAAAATTAAAAAAAACACTGTCTAACCGTTTGCAATTGTCAAGATCATCCCATTTAAATCATTATCTTCACTAGCATTTTCTTGGGTTCCAATATTGTCGGTAAGAGAGGGAGGTGTAGAGAGATCACATGTTCCATCTATGCATTTCGAAACAATCTCACTTCTGCTTGTTCCTTCGGTATTTTCTAGGTCTTGAGATTGTACTCTACTTTTCTCTTGATACTCCACTCCAGCTTCTTCCCTTACAGCTTCAAAAGATTCTGTAACATTTGCATTAATACCCATTCTAATAATTCACTAAAACTAACATTTAATATATCATGAAAATTTTATCTAACCTTGATTGGCACAATTTTGAACTCCAAATTTCTCTTTATATGACAGAGGTGTAGACAGATCATATGTTCCTTCTAAGCATTTGCATACAATCTCACTGACACTTGTTCCCAATGGACTTTCTAAATCCTCCTGAGATTGCAATCCACATTTACAAATTTTTTCTGTTAATCCTGTCTATTTTGGATTTTCCTGGTCTTGGCATTCTCCTATATCTTGAACTTCCACTCCATCAATAGATTCTACAAATATTTATAATCACAAAAAGTTTATATGTATTATGCTATTGAATATAAATTTCAATGAAAAAAAATTCAAAATCTATATCTAACCTTTCCCAATATCAGTGACATTCTCAGTTTCATCATCTAGATGTGCATCTCTAAAATCGCTTTCATACTGTACTTCTGTATGCACATCCATATCATCACGTTCATCACCACCTTCATCTTTGTTAATTGTAACAGTAGGCTCTGTACCACGACAATGATCATCAACTCCATCTTTAGTAATTGGAACACTAGATTCTCTCTCTATGTTCCTTTCATCAGGTTTCACATAAATCTTCAACAAAGTATCAAGCTTTGATCCTAGACTTTTCTTTAAATCCTGAGAAAGAAACTAAGTTAGAAAGTTAAGGACAGATAGTCCTAAACTTCAAGTTACAAGTAAAGAAGTTAAGGATAGGCAGTCCTTAACTTTGAATTTCAAGTTAAAAAGTTAAGGACACTTGGTCCTGAACTTCAACTTTCAAATTGAAAAGTTAAGGATACTTGGTCCTGCACTTCAAGTTTCAAGTTCAAAAGTTCAGGTCAGATGGTCCTCAACTTAGACTTACAGATTCAAAAGTAAAGGACACTTGGTCCTAAACTTCAAGTTGTAAGTTCAAAAGTTAAGGATACTTGGTCCTAAACTTCAAGTTTTAAGTTTAAAAGTTAAGGACAGGCTGTCCTTAACTTATAGTTTTAAGTTCAAAAGTTAAGGACACTTGGTCCTAAACTTCAAGTATTAAGTTCAAAAGTTAAGGACAGGCTGTCCTTAACTTATAGTTTTAACTTCAAAAGATAAGGACACAAGATCCTGAACTTAGACTAACTGAAATTAATGATATTACCATGATTTCATTCTCAATCTTTTTTTCTGATACAACTATTTTCTGATTTATTCTAATAACTTCAGCTTGCAGATCCTTTTTAAAACTCTCTGATAATCTCTGAATCAAAAAACATAAAAACAAAAAAGTCTCATAAGCAAAAAATAATCAAATAAAAAACTAATGTTATTCAAAGGCAGAAACCTACTTTAACAATTTCCTTAAGCATGGCTTCATCAAATTGTGTGGAAGAAGGCATTGAGCTTTGATCTTGAGAAATTGGCTCTTCCACACTAATAGGCTCTGTATCTTCTTCAACAGGAATAAATGGTGACACCTCGGTCAACTTATACAACTATTATATAACAAAATATAAACATATGTTTTCAGAACTAAAACAAATAAACAAAAAAAATAGCTAGTAATTAGATTAGCTTACATTTTCATTATGAAAGTAATTTTTACACAGAGAATCATTCTGTGGAGATTTTATTTCTGAATAACATAACATCCGAGGATAACCACATTCTTGGAAGTTCACAAATTGTTTTTCCTGGAAAACAGGAATTACTTCCATAATCCAAACACAAAAGACAAAAGGAAAGTCAAGTATAGTGTAGCTATCCTTGTCTTTATCTTTGTCTTTCACTTTCTCATTCTCATTCTCATTGGGCTTCAAACAACTCTTCAATGATTTTAATAACGTCTCATAAGAAAGAGAGCCCCAGTTGAATGAAGAGCAAAGTTCATCATCGTCTACAATTTTCATTATCTGCTCGGACACATTCCTATTCTTCCGCTTCCCCATCAAAAAAAATTTCAACGAAATGAATTGTTTCCAACTTCACAGCATCATCATCGCTGCCTACAAATGATGCAGCTGTACCATATGGGTGACTAGTAATAAAGTTAAACAAATCACCCAACTCAACGCTATCCTTTTCGGGGAAATAGACTTTCGAAAGCCTATACTCTTTTTCATGCAAACCTTTGATGTCCGGTGAGGAATAACACTTCAAACCAGTAAGTATATGAAATTGTCACGTGTAAACTTAATTTCACGCTCAAAAACCTTGAATGTCATCGAATCAGGGTAATTATTTACAATTTTCGAAAGCAATACACAGTGAATAAGTTCACCACAGAACTTCACACTTTGCAATCGGAAAAAGTTTCCGAAAATACCATCCCTCAACTTCTTCCACTGCCTGTTTGAAAAAAAAGTTTTGACTGTTTCCTTATACTGTAAATCTCCTTTCCAATAGATCATAAAATTACGCCAAACATCAAACTCGAACACACGATCTCCTTCCATTATCACACTACAAAGAAGGAAAAAGAACATAAAGATTAGGACTTATAGTTACAACTTGAAAAGTTCGAGGCACTTGGTCCTAAACTTCAAGTTTCAAGTAAAAAAGCTAAGGACAGGTAGTCCTTAACTTAAAGTTTCAAGTTTAAAAGTTAAGGACAATAGGTCCTGAACTTCAAATTTCAAGTTCAAAAGTTAAGGACACTTGGTCCTTAACTTCAAGTTTCAAGTTAAAATGTTAAGGACAGGCAGTCCTTAACTTATAGTTTCATGTTGAAAAGTTAAGGACACTTGGTCCTTAACTTCAAGTTTCAAGTTCAAAAGTAAAGGACACTTGGTCCTTAACTTTGAATTTCAAGTTCAAAAGTTAAGGACACTTAGTCCTGAACTTTCACGTACAAGTTCAAAAGTTAAGGACACTTGTCCATTAACTTAGAGTTACAAGTTAAAAAGGTAAGAACAAGCAGTCCTTAACTTATAGTTTCAAGTTGAAAAGTTAAGGACACTTGGTCCTGAACTTCAACTTTCAAGTTCCAAAGTTAAGGACACTTGGTCCTTAACTTCAAATTTCAAGTTAAAAAGTTAAGGACACTCAGTCCTTAACTTTGAGTACCAAGTTCAAAAGTTAATGTCGCTTGGTCCTTAACTTTTATGAACACAGTTAACTAAAAATTCATAAACGCAGTTAGCTTATGAATTCATACAACTATATTTATGAAATGTCCTTATATAATCAAATATATTGATTGAACCACAAATACATTTCAATACAATTTTTTTTTTCAATAACAGCCTCACAAAAATACGCTACTTATTCGACACTGAATCAACTTATAATCATTATTTTTGAAATTTCACACATACTTGACACAACATTAATTGAGATTACACACATTCCAAGTTAAAATGCATAAAAGCAAAAAAAATAAAAAATAAAAATTACCAGTTCGATCGTTCGATGCAGAGAGGATGACAGAGAAGATGAAGAAGGAGAAATATTAAGTGCAGCTGGTTTGCATGCGAGGACGATACAGATTAGGACCACGCGAAACTGTCCTGAAATTTTCGCTGTCAAATTTTCCCTCTTCTGAATGAATAAAACAAGGGTTTAGGAATATAAGAATTGAAGAAAGGGTAAAACTGTCTTTTCGCTATTAGTAGTGGCTATTTTTGATGAGCATTCTAATTAGTGGATAAAAAATAAAGACCAATTTACTTAATGGCTATCACACGCCATTTTTACGCAGTTTCTTGCGTATCAATATTCATATTATTATTTGGACTCATGGTGGAGTTGGTTAGTGAAGTTTGTGATGATGTTAAAGCTGGATCCAAAAGGATATGGGGTGGTTTAGGTGGTATGGAATATGAAATGCATATTGTTGGGATTTCATGTATTCTCTCCTCAAAGTGGCTTCCCTCGTCTAAAAATAAGCTTAGTCTTGCTTTTATACTCGTTGGGTAGGTCTAGGGCCGAAATAATCTTGTCCCGTGCAAACTTGGATAATTTTTCGTCACCGGCATCCAGGACAGCGTGTGGCGCTGGCTTGCTGAAGATTCTGCCCACGGTGCCACAGGTGGCGTGGGGCGCTGCCTATGGCGCTGAAATTCCACATTTCCCATATTTCCTCCATTTTGGTTTTAATCTCGCACCTTTCGCCCCCAATTGCTTCTGGATGATTCCTACATATAAAAACACCCCGAATTAATATAAACCAATACATTTTACATGCTAAATGCACGAAACACGAGTAAAATATGAGGCAATATATATATATATATATATACACTTTCAGCTAAATATCAACACCAAAGTAAATAATTAATAGCAAATAATTTTAATATAACTAATCTCAACATTATTAATCTCTATCATTAATAATACAAGTATCTCGAATATAAGGAGATAGAAATTTTTGTTGTATATTTTGGTCAATTCCTCTGTAATTATGGTCAGCAAAGGCTTTGTGCTTCTAAATATTAAAATTGTTATCATCTCAAAAAAAAAAAAAAAAAAAAAACTGTATCCCGATAATAATCTTATACATCATACCAAAGACCCCTTATAATATGTGGTAGGACCCATAAGTCACCTAATAGGAGGCCTCACATAGCATGTGAGAAACAAAATAAAATTCCTCTATCTAGCGTTCAATATTTCCCCTTGGAGTTCTCTTTCTTTTGTGCCCTAGAAAAGATGAGAAACCAGGAAGTGAGAGATGTAGAGGATATGAGCGGCAGCGGCATTGAGATGATCCGAAAGAAGGTGGTGGAGGAATGGGGTTTTTTTTGCATATCATCATCAATATTTTAACAAGGAAGAGTCTCCTGATTGGCGTTACCCTTATCATTTCCCCGAAAGCACCCATCGCAAAATGCTAGAAACGTTTTATAAAGGTTGCGCCGAGAACACAAGGTTTTTTATTTTATTTTTTATCATACCTCTCTCTTGCTTTGACCCAAAATTATGTATGTTAGATTTTGCTAAGCATCCGTTATTAATAAATATATGCTAGTGATTATTAGGAGTACAAAATTAAATAAAAAAGCTAGTCACTGATTTTGAATTTATAACTACATCTTTGGTACCGTTTGAAGTTATTTTACCTTTGACAAGATTGATAATATGTGTCTCGGACAGAGTTTAATTTCTCTGTTCTGGACCTTGCTATTCAACTAATATTGTACTTAAAAACAAACTTGCTTGGGAAGTCCTCACTTGATGTGCAGAGGATATGAAGGTAACTTTGCAATAGGTGTTTGGTCTCATTGTTCGTTATCCTGTTCGGGCTGTTCTCCTGCAAAACCTTACTCCTACTCATGGACTAACTGTAAGTTGTCCCTGGAGGACCTATAGTTTACAAGGGTGTTGACCCGTGGAATAACCTATTGGGGCTTGCACCGGGGTAGGCTGCCTATATCTCTGGAGTAGTAGGACCCTTCCAGGGGCCCTGCGTGAGCAGGGGTGCTTTGTGCATTGAACTCCTGCCCTGCTCTAGATTTCAATGCCCCATTTCATTTGACCTGTTAATAAGCTACAGATCCATGATATTATTCTTTCCTCTGAGTGTTCTTTTCTGGTTGCCGAGATGCAGCTTTAAGTTCTCAATTGAGGCAGTGACAGTTGGTGGGGTGGGGCTTTCTAGCTACTCCGAGCTGCTAAAGATTACTGATTTCAAGACTAGGAGCTTTATTCAGAAGACTCTTTCAGGAAGATTGTTCGGTGGCGCCATTGTTGAAGGATCTGAAAAACGGCTTGTGATTGTAAAGACATGGGATGTTCTCCTTCCTTACAGGCATTATCTTGCTCAACGTCTACCTAAATTTTGTGTATGTTTGCTAGATATGACTTAATTTGATTTCCTGTCTGTTGTTTTGGGTTGAATGATGATAACGGTTCTTTTGTAGGATGAGATTGAGTTATTCACAGATACAACAGCAAATATGCATCCAAATTTGGCGAAATTGTGTACATTCTGTTGTGACACAAGGCTTGCAGCTGTCTATGAGTATGATGAAAAATGTACCGGACTCTTGTCTGATGTTCTTCTGGATGGTATCTAAGTTGCCTCAAGTCTTATGTTGAATGACTGTTCATAGTGACCTCTGTGTGCATTTTAACCCATTTTTTGTGTTCTTTATTTCTTATTCCTCAGATAAATTTGGGTGGAGTAACAGGATAAAAGTGGCAGCTCAACTTGCAGATCTCTTGGCATTCTTGCATCAGAAGGGGATTGCAGTTGGTTGTGTTACTGCATCATGTATTATGATAGATGAGGTTGAGTTTCAGCCCTTGGTCGTCTGGCCAACTTTCTATTTCTCTTAGACAAGATATTAGAAGATTTTTAACAAATTACTACTTCGGTTTGGCTGCAGGAAGTGAATATAAAAGTATTTGACTTTGGTTACGTTTCTAATCATGTGAACGAGGATTCTAAAATTCCTATTGAGTTTGTTGTCGGCAGGGATGCTCCACTACGTGATCCAGGCATGTTTGCTCAGACTTCATCATCTCTGATGTTTTCATGCTGTAGATCAACGATTTTCTTACAGTTGCCTATGTAATGCATGATATGCAATGCGTCATCTAAAGCCTGCCATCCCCCCCCCCCTTTCTTTGCATTTTCCCTTTATCTTCTCCCCTCATTACCTCAGTAATGTGCGAGTTATGTGTAGTTGTTTGACAAGATAGTCTCTAACTGGAATATTGGCCTGAGCCTATGGTTCGTTATGAAACTGATATGAAGACCTTAATAATTAAGGTGAACTAAGATAGTTAAAATGGCTGGCTAAAATATAAGCATGAAAATATCTGATACTTGAGTCATGGAAGGGCGGTTGTTTCACATCCTTGAAATTTGCATTCTTAATTCCTGATGCCGTAAATTACTATCTTTTTTTTGGTGATTTTTATAAATACTGAATCCTCCTTTAATTCATCTTTAACATCTTTTGTCTCGCATTCATCAACCAATTGTTTTTTGTCGCGTTTAGCCTCAAAAGTTGAGGAATCATACTCCTCCTTAGTTATCAGCTCCAGCAGTAGAATGCCAAATTGATAAACATCACATTTCATCGTCCGCTTACCTGTATTAATCAAGAAAATACAAGAACATAACCGTTTTTACTGGACAAAAGACAATAAAATATGTAAAAGTATGCATATAATACAAACAACAAATATTGACGACATCTACTCAAGGGTCATAATTCTTAGTTCAGACGTCTTTTCATAAGCGCTTTTCTATTTCGGCCAAAAACATAAAAATATGAGATTCTTGGCAGCGTCAACTGAGGACTTAATTACACGCTAATGAAAAACGTATAGGAACAATGCATCACATAAGTCTTCAGTAAAATTAAAAGAACATCATCAGAACTTAGTATTCGTTCAGGATATATAGCTAGATACGGAACGACAACCAACATCAATTTGTAAGTTGTAAGGCTTCAAAGAAGCTGATCATACAATTGCTATCACACTCCTAACACTCAACTGCATGGACTTTGATCCAAAGAAAAGGCCAACGATGAGGCATGTTTCTGAAGCTTTGAATGCAATGACAGTGAGAGGGGAGAAACGCAAAAGAGATGAAATTGAGTCAGAATAGGATAAGCTATACCCTCTAAGCTTAGTTGCTTTTTCTTTTTGTATAACTTGAATTAGTAAAGTAGTTGCTAGGCTGTCTTCGTAGAGGAAGCAGTCTTCTTCTGAAGCTTTATGAATGATTCCTGAAAATTTGATTGTACTAAATACCTATGAACCGGAGATGTTCCAGCTCTTTAAACAGATTATTGTAGGCACCCAAATTGTCCCCTTTTTCCTCTTGCTATTTGAACTCTTTCGTGTTAATTCGATGTGCAATGGTTTCTACCATACTGGTTTCTTTTTTGGCTGCTTATTCTCTTTCGAGTTAGCCGATGTGCATTTCCAATCTTTATCAAGTGGTGCTGTTGTAACGCTAGATTGCACTATTTCAGTAGTGCGCGCAATTGAGAGCATATTAATGGAAAAAAGTTTTCCTTTCCACCCTGTGCTAATTCTGTGACTTCTACCGTCGATCCAACTCCTTCGCTGAACTTTCGCTTGATTCACCCCTTCAGCTAACAAATAATCCAAGTGACAATGGACAAAAATTGCAGTCTTGATGAGGCGTCAACATTAGTAGCTGTAATGGTTTAAACTTTTTTCAAATAAATGTGTCAAGATGCATATCACAGAGAAATTTTACAATGTGTGAGGCATGCCACATCATACTTGAGTGAGGCTATTTATCGTGTGACACATGGAACAATGGACCCCACCCTTCATTATCACTTCTCCATCACAATTCACCTACTCACTTTCCGGTCATTCCTCATTTTTTTTTTCTAACTCATTCTCCGCCGCACGGACTTCACCCCCCTTTATATCCTCTTCTCTTGTTTTAAATCCTATAATTATTTTTCTTTTACAAATCCATTCGATTAGCTCTTCTTTACTACTGAACTTTGTACCCAAAAAAGAGGTTTGAATTTATGAAATATTTCAATCACATGTCAGAAACACAAGACCCAGGATAACAACAAAAAGATGAATTTTGAAGCAAGAAGCTCTCACAAAATTAAAGTTAATTAGCTTAATCAATGAGCAAATGCTAGGGGTGGTGCGCAGAGTTCGGGAGGACCCAACCGGTTCTATGCCATGAGTGGTCGTCAGACTGCAGAGGCTTCTCCAAATGTTGTTACCGGTATTCTGACTGTCCAATCTCATGATGTGTATGCACTTATTGACCCCGGTTCCACCTTGTCCTATGTTACCCCTTTTGTTGCTATGGAATTTGGGATAGAACCGGATCAGCTTCATGAGCCATTCTCGGTATCTACTCCGGTTGGTGAGTCAATTACGGCTGCTCGAGTTTATAGAGGTTGTGTTGTCACGATACGTGGTAGGGATACCATGGCCGATCTTATTGAATTGGGGATGGTCGATTTTGATGTAATAATGCGAATGGATTGGCTTTATTCATGTTTTGCCAAGCTTGATTGTCGGACTAGAACTATGAGGCTTGAGTTTCCTAATGAGCCCGTTGTTGAATGGGTGGGGGATAATGTAGTGCCTAAAGGTCGGTTTATTTCTTACCTTAAGGCCGCAAAGATGATCAAGAAGGGGTGTATCTACCATTTGGTTCGGGTTACGGACACCGATGTCGAGGCACTTAGCCTTGAGTCCGTGCCAGTTGTTAATGAATTTCCAGATGTCTTTCCAGATGAGCTCCCTGGGATCCCACCAGACAGGGGGATTGATTTTGGGATCAATGTGATGCCAGGCACGCAGCCTATATCAATTCCACCTTACAGAATGGCACCGGTAGAATTGAAAGAGCTAAAGGAACAATTGAAGGATTTGTTAGAAAAGGGTTTCATCAGGCCAAGTATGTCACCATGGGGCGCACCAGTTTTGTTTGTAAGGAAGAAAGATGGGTCGCTGCGGATGTGTATTGACTACCGGCAACTTAACAAAGTCACAATCAAAAATAAATACCCTCTACCAAGGATAGATGACTTGTTTGATCAATTGCAAGGTGCTACGTGTTTCTCAAAGATTGACTTGCGGTCCGGGTATCACCAATTGAAGATAAGGGAGCAAGATATTCCGAAAACAGCTTTCAGGGCTCGGTATGGGCACTTTGAATTTCTGGTGATGTCTTTTGGGCTAACAAATGCCCCGGCAGCCTTCATGGATCTTATGAATCGAGTCTTCAAGCCTTTTCTAGACTCCTTTGTGATCGTGTTCATTGATAATATTCTTGTGTATTCCCGAAGTCGAGAGGAATATGCTAACCATCTCAGGGCAGTTTTGCAGACTCTTCAGCAACACCAACTGTATGCAAAATTTTTGAAATGTGAATTTTGGCTTGAATCTGTCGCGTTCTTGGGTCATGTCGTCTCCAGGGAAGGAATTATGGTTGATCTCAAAAGATTGCAACAGTGAAGAATTGGCCTAGACCTACCACTCCAACAGAGATTCGCAGTTTCTTGGGTTTGGCTGGGTACTACAGAAGGTTTGTGGAGGGCTTTTCTACTCTTGCCTCTCCCTTGACTAAATTGACCCAGAAAGCTGTTAAGTTCCAGTGGTCCGATGCTCGTGAAAGGAGCTTCCAAGAATTGAAATAAAGATTGACTTCAGCACCGATATTAACCCTACCAGAGGGTACAGAGGGGTTTGTGGTGTATTACGATGCTTCAAGGATCGGGGTTGGGTGTGTGTTAATGCAACACGGCAAGGTTATAGCCTACGCTTCTTGCAACTCAAGAATCATGAAAAGAACTATCCAACCCATGACTTAGAGCTTGCGGCAGTGGTGTTTGCGCTAAAGATCTGGTTACATTATCTATATGGAGTCCATGTGGATGTATTCATGGGCCACAAGAGCCTTCAATATATTTTCAAGCACAAGGAGTTGAATTTGAGACAAAGAAGATGGCTAGAGTTACTCATGGACTATGACATTGATATTCTCTATCACCCGGGAAAGGCTAATGTTGTGGCGGACGCTCTTAGTCGAAAATCTATGGGAAGTTTGGCTCATTTGAAGGCGTATCAAAGGTCGTTGGCCCGGGAGGTTCATCAATTGGCTAGTTTGGGAGTTTGCCTTGCAGACTCTAATGAAGGAGGGATAGTTGTGCAGAATATGCTGAATCATCGCTTGTGACGGAGGTGAAAGAGAAGCAATTGAACGGCCTATTATTAGCACAGCTGAAGGAGGGGATTCATAAACATAAGACCACAGCTTTTTCCTTTGGCAAGGATGGTGGTACCCTACGGTACCAAGGCCGCCTATGTGTTCCGAATATTGACGGTCTTCGGGAAAGGATCATGGCAGAAGCTCACACTTCCAGGTATTCTGTGCACCCAGGTTCTACAAAAATGTATCATGATCTCAAGAAGTTTATTGGTGGAACAACATGAAAAAGGAGGTGGCGGACTTTGTGGCAAGATGTCCGAACTGTCAACAAGTGAAGGCCGAACATCAAAGGCCCGGTGGATTGGCTCAAAGCATAGAAATTCCAATGTGGAAATGGGAGATCATCAACATGGATTTTGTGGTAGGGTTACCGCGCACTCCGCGCAAGTTCGACTCAATTTGGGTGATCGTGGATCGACTCACGAAATCAGCGCACTTCTTGCCAGTCAAATCTACCGACACAGCGGAACAGTATGCTCAGTTGTATATCAAGGAAATAGTCAGGTTGCATGGTACTCCAGTCTCAATCATTTCAGATCGAGGGGCTCAGTTCACAGCCAACTTTTGGAAGAAATTTCAGCAAGGTTTGGGCACGTAGGTAAATCTTAGCACAACTTTTCACCCTCAGACCAACGGGCAAGCAGAGCGGACTATTCAGACACTTGAGGACATGTTGCGTGCTTGTGCTCTTGATTACAAAGGTAGTTGGAATGATCATTTGCCACTCATAGAGTTTGCCTATAACAACATCTTCCATGCTAGTATCCAGATGGCGCTATTTGAGGCATTGTATGGTAGGTGATATAGGTCTCCCATAAGGTGGTTCGAGGTTGGAGTGGCTGAATTTATAGGGCCGGATCTTGTGCACCAGGCCATGGAGAAAGTCAAAATTATCAAGGAAAGGTTGAAAACTGCTCAAAGTCGCCAAAAGTCTTATTCGGACGTTCGTCGCAGAGATTTGGAGTTCAGAGAAGATGATTGGGTATTTTTGAAGGTTTCCCCGATGAAGGGTATCATGCGGTTTGGGAAGAAAGGAAAATTGAGTCCAAGGTATGTCGGACCATACAAAATCATTCAGAGGATTGGTCAGGTGGCATACAAGCTCGAGCTGCCACCCGAGATCTCATTGGTACACCCAGTCTTTCATGTGTCTATGTTGAAGAAGGTCGTGGGAGATCCGTCCACTATTGTGCCAGTTGAAACTATTGAGGTTAATGAAGAACTGTCATATGAAGAAGTTCCAGTTGCCATTCTTGACAGGCAAGTCCGAAAATTGAGAAATAAGGAAATTGCCTTCGTAAAGGTGTTATTGCGAAGCCAGCAGGTTGAGAAAGCCACTTGGAAAGCCGAGGAAGAAATTAGAAGGAAGTACCCACATTTGTTTGTATAGCCATGTAATAGCTTTCATGCATTTGGCCCCTATGAACTCTGTATCCTTGATTTGATCTATGTAAAACTATTTTGTTTCGTTTTGGTTATATGATTGCCTATGCGGCCATGGTTAGTATTGTACAGGTTATGTTATGTCTATAGAATATGTATATGCTGTTAGGATATGTTTCTGGAGCTCTCTGACAGGTGGATAGGCCTAGATACAAAGGAAACGCTGGCAAAATTTTTGGAAATTTAGGGAGTTAGACAAATTTGGGGCTATTGATATATTCCATGATTGTGAAAAGCTGAGGTTGCATAAAGATTGCTAATAAGTGAACCTTGATCCTCATTTCGAGGACGAATGATCCTAAGTGGGGGAGGATGTAAGGCCCCGTGAAAATTTCTACTCAAAACCCGAGAGCTCGTAGTGCCAAGTTAGGACCCTTGGTACTGATCTATGCATTAAGGACAAATGTTTTCCAGAAAAGTGCATTTATGCGGTCCATTATGCGGTCGCATAATAGCTATGCGGGCCGCATAGTCGCCGCGGAGTCAGACAGTTTGATGGTGATTTTGAGGTCAACTGAGCGGCCAACTATGCGATCGCATAATCAATACACGGGCCGCATATTCATCGCATAATCCCCTTGGAATTTTGCGAGGGGTTGTTCTGCGGTGCATTATGCGACCGCAGAACAGGTATGCGGACCGCATTCCTGTCGCATACTCGGGCAGTTTGTTGAGGTTTCTGAAGCCACACTACTAGAAATCTGGTCTACTGCAACGCTTTTTTTTTGCAACGGTTATAAAACCGTTCCAATAGAAAGCATATGGCAACGGTTTTGATCGTTGCATAATATATTTGGCTCTAATGGAACACTTTGGTTGAGATCCGTTGCATCATTAAAAGAAACCGTCACAATATGCATGTTTATTGCAACAGTGTTTGTAACCGTCCCATATATTACTCTAATGCAACGCGTATTTGGTTAAAATTATCTATTGCAACGTATACTAATTTTCCCTCTTTAATTTTTATTTTCCCTCTTCTCAATTCCCTCGCTTATTTTCGTATTCCTTTTCTAATCTTTCATTCCCTAGTCGCTAGAACCCATCACTAGATAATTTGGCCAAGACTTCATTCATCTCAAAACTTTAGTCGAACATACCTCTCATCAACAAATAAACTAGGGTTTAAGTCCATCAAAATCCTAATTGACACCCTTACCCTTCTCTTTCTCTCACTCACCCACTGCTCAATTTCGCAATCAATCAGAATATACAAAACCCTAATTGATTCTTACTATATTTGAACCATTTTATCTCCTCAAAGCCCGCCAATGAAGCGGCTCTATAGATCTGCAGAGAACAAGAACGAAGAAGAAGAAAAAGAGGCAAAGTAATTACTTATTGAAGGTATTCATATATATGCTTATATTTTGTTTCTATGTATTTCTCATTCGAAAAAGGGCATTTTTAGATTCTAAGCTATTACCTGCAATTCCCTGGTCAGCTATCATTTTGTCTCAGCTCTTG